TTGAAGTTTCTCTTTATCTATAAGATAAAGGGCTACGTAGAGTCTACAATGAGCACCTGGTCTGTCTTCTGACTCAGCATGCTCCACCCACTGCCCTCTGTCCCAGAGGTGGGTCTTTGGCCTCAGGAGCCACGACAGCCCTGCTCTGGGAGCCTCTGCAAGGAGGATGGGCAGCATGGGCCCCTTCCCAGTGTGCATTCAGCCGCCTTGCAGCCAGGCCCTGGGGGCACTGAGTTTGGCTAGGGAAGAGGCAGCCCCAGGTTGGATTCTAACCCAGGAAGCAGGCTTTTGTTGTCACTGCCCCCTCCACACACTCATGGTCCAGGATAACATGTTTGAAGATTTGCAAAGCCAACCAGTATCCAAATTTGGATTTAGAGAAATCCTGGTTTCCTCAGAAGCCACGCTTGAGTGCTCTTTGATGGTTAAGAGGACAGGAAGATCCTCTTTTGAGTCCCTGCTCTGCTGCTTTCAGGCTCTATGATCTGGGCAAGTTGCTTAATCTCCCGAGCTTCAGTTTTCTGTTTTGCAGTGCAGGAATGATAATAGCAGCCACCTGCTAGGTTTGTGGTAAAGAGTGAGCATGTGTTGAACTTCTGGGGCAGTGCCTGGACCTCCCTGTGGCTGCTCAACTAGACGTTGTTTGGACGCTGATGATGCTGCTGGATCGGGCCTGTGCCATCTTCTTCAACCCCTTTCTTACCATCGCATCCCTCCCATCACTTTATTCCTTCATTCACTTACTCAGTCACTCCCATCTCATTAGTCACCTCAGTCTAACGTAGTTCTTTCCGTGACTCTCATGATCCTGACACCTATAGGCCAATTATTTTGTAAAATGATCCAAGTCTTCATTCTGGGTTTATCTGATGTTCCCTGTGATTCTATTTATGTTATGTCTCTGTGACAGAGGTAGCACAGAAGTGATACCTCTATTCCTCTTACTGCGTCCTACCAGCCAATGCCTGACGGCAGCTTGTCCTGTGATTAATGATATTGATTTTGATCACTTGATGAAGGTGCTATCTGCCAGCCTTATCTGTGAAGTGACTCATGTTCCCTTTGTAATTAGTAACTACTTTGGATGGGAAGGTACTTCGAAACTGTAAATCCCCCATTTCTCATCAAACATTCACTTACTTGTTTATTCATACCTGTATAGACTTTGGTTTCCTGTTTTATTCAATGGAATATAATCGGTTACGGTCATTACTGAGTTTAATATGAAGATTATCTCAGCTTGCGCCCGGGTAGGGTGACCAACACTAGCTTGCCTGGGACTGAGGGATTTCCCAGGATGTGAGATTTGCAGTGGTAAAACTGGGAAAGTCCCAGGTAAACCTTGAAGTGCTGATCACTCTACCAGAGGGAGACTGGTTCCTATGCCCAGAATCTTTATCATTCTTTGAGTGTTTGCTTACTTCCTGGCACAAGAAGGTGTTCCAGGCTCATCTTATACTTTCTCTGACCCAGCCCTGGAATTACCCATTTTTCAAAAGACCTAGAGCCAGGGACCTTTTGAGTGGTAGGCTGTACCACGCTGTGGACACTGAGCCAGATGGAACTCATTCACTGCCCACAGGCCACACTGTCTTCTGCTTCTGCACCTTGGCTGGCTGTTCTTTCTGCCAGGGCCACTTGGTAAGCATCTACCTCCAGCACTGAGATTCTCCATGAAGGCTGATCCCCTACCCAGCCCATGGAGCTGATCTCCTTCTTACGCCCCCACTGAGCACTTTAGGGCACCTCCCCATTTCCAGGCGTGGCTCCTCCTTTCACTGCAGACCTCTCAAAGACAGGCCTCACATTCATCTCTGACTCTTCTGGACTCAGTACAGGACTGGAGCTGGGGGCTGCTGGTTAAATGGTTGGATCTAGTCATGCCATAGAGCAGAAAGGTAAATGCGGTAGAGAGGGAGGGTGAATCGTTCAGGGTAACACAAATAGTGTTGCAGACTTGAGTCTGTCCTTGAACCTTGGTTTTCTTAATTGTATAATGGGGCCAATATCCCAGAGCCCTGCTGTAAGAATAAAATAATGTGTATAAAGCACTTACTTAGTACAGTACCTGGCACATGGTAGGTGCATCTCTCAGTATTGCTGGGGGACCTTTTGAAACTGTTTTCATTATTTCAGAAGCAAAACATGTTAGAAAATTGGAAATATGCCAGGCAAGGTGGATCACACCTCTAATCCCAGCACTTGGGAGGCTGAGGCAGGCAGATCACAAGGTCAGGAGTTTGAGACCAGCCTGGCCAATATAGTTAAACCCCGTCTCTACTAAAAATACAAAAAAAAAAAATTAGCTGGGTGTGGTGGCGCACGCCTGTAGTCCCAGCTACTTGGGAGGCTGAGGCAGGAGAATTGCTTGAACCTAGGAGGTGAAGGTTGTGGCAAGCCGAGATTGCGCCACTGCACTCCATCCTGGGCAACAGAGCAAGACTCTGTCTCAAAAAAAGAAAAAACAAAAATAAGAAATACAGACAAGAAAAGTGAAAAGAAACCATCACATTTCTATCATTTAGAGATCTCCACTGTGAACATCTTAGCAATTGTGTTTCCTGGGCTTCCTCTATGCATATATTTTTCTCCCAATTGTGCTTATGCTGCCTTTTTTTTTTTTTTTTTTTTTTGAGTTGGAGTCTTGCTCTGTTGCCCAGGCTGGAGTGCAGTGGCATGATCTTGGCTCACTGAAACCCCCACCTGCCAGGTTCAAGTGATTCTCATGCCTCACCTCCTGGGTAGCTGGGATTACAGGTGTACACCACCACACCCAGCTAATTTTTAAATTTTTAGTAGAGATGGGGTTCCATTATGTTGGCCAAGCTGGTCTCCAACGCCTGACCCCAAGTGATCCTCCTGTCTCAGCCTCCCAAAGTGCTGGGATTACAGGTGTGAGCCACCACAACCGATCTATTTTGTGACCTTTTTTTTTTAAGGCAGCAGTCTCCACCATTTTGTTTCCATAAATTTTCAGTGCACCTGATACTCTGATCACATACACATTTCTCCAGTTGTCTCCAAAATGCCCTTTATTTTTATTTATTTATTTATTTTTTGAGATGGAGTTTCGCTCTTGTTACCCAGGCTGGAGTGCAATGGCGCGATCTCGGCTCACCACAACCTCTGCCTCCTGGGTTCAGGCAATTCTCCTGTCTCAGCCTCCTGAGTAGCTGGGATTACAGGCACATGCCACCATGCCCAGCTAATTTTTTGTATTTTTAGTAGAGATGGGGTTTCACCACGTTGACCAGGATGGTCTCGATCTCTTGACCTCGTGATCCACCCGCCTCAGCCTCCCAAAGTGCTGGGATTACAGGTGTGAGCCACCGCGCCCGGCTTCAAAATGCCCTTTATAGATGGTGTGTCCAAATCAGTCTGCAATCCAGAAATGCACTTTACATGTGGTTGTTATATCCTGCAAGTCAGTCCCGCCCAGCTCCTTTCTTATGACATTGATTGGCGGAAGAACCTCGGCCAGTAGCCCCATGGGATGGTTCACTGTCTGGCTCTGTCTGGTTGCATTCTCATGTGGTGTCACTTAGCTCGTTCCTCTGTCCTCTGTATTTTCTATAAACGGAAGTTATATCCAGGGCTTGATGGGTTTTTTGGTTCCTAGAAAAGCCAGCAGGCGATGGTGTGACCTTCCTGCGGTGTCCCACCATCATTAATGGTGCCAAGGCCTATTCTGGGATGAGGGGGAAGGCAGTGTGATCTCTCCCTCATATGGTTGCTTGCATCCACTTATGAGTGGAAAGTGTTATGTGAGGGTTCCTTTGGCACTGTCTAAATGCCAGTTCTGAGAGATCTTTTTAAACTACACAAGAAAACTTGTCCATTTGCTGAGAAGAACTTGATCTTGGGGATAGGGCTCTTGGGTTAAAAAAAAATCACAGAACAAGGACATTGAGTTTCATCTCACTGAGTGCAAACCTAGGGAAACCTGGTTCTGTTTTTACTTGCTTTCCATACATGTGGTCTGGGTTAAATCCTAGCTCTGCTACTTACCAGCTGAGTGACATTGGGTGAGTTACTTAACCTCTTTGAGCCTCAAGTCCCTTCTTGGATTTCTTGTCTGGCAGAGTTGTTGGGAGGGTTAAATAAAACAAGGTGTCCTGGCCGGGCGCAGTGGCGCACACCTGTAATCCCAGCACTTTGGGAGGCCGAGGCAGGCGGATCATGAGGTCAAAAGATCGATACCATCCTGGACAACATGGTGAAACCCTGTCTCTATAAAAATACAAAAATTAGCTGGGTGTGGTGGTGTGCGCCTGTAGTGCCAGCTGCTTGAGAGGCTGAGGCAGGAGAATCGTTTAAACTTGGGAGGTGGAGGTTGCAGTGAGCTGAGATCATGCCACTGCACTCCAGCCTGGCAACAGAGCAAGACTCCGTCTCGAAACAAAAAACAAGGTGTCCTTGGCCATCTTCTTCCCAGATGAAAAGCTCTTTGAGGGCAAGGCTAATACATAGTAAGAAATCCAAAGATGTTTGTTGAAGGGGGAAAAAAACACAAATAGGAGGACAAGTGGTATGGTGAGGTGATAAGTACCAGGGAGGAAATAAATCATCCATTTAGGCATTTGATTTTCATTTATGCTTTCATTTCATTTCACATGTACCCATTCCCATTCCAGGCTCCATGCTGAAATAACCATGAACCTCTGCCCACAAGGAGCTCACAGGGGTCTGGGAGGGCACAGACAGAGATTGATTGTGTGGAAGCCCAGAAGGTCTGGCTGGGAAGGCTTCCTGGAGGAAGAGACTGGGCTGAGTAGGGGTAGATGCTCTCTGGATACAGAGGCTGTCTGTCTCCTGGCACTGGTGGCTGTTTAGGGAGCTGGACAGGGCTTGTGGCAAGAAGGAAGTCCATGCTGGCGTCAGAGGCCTCTGTTCCTCCCTGTCCTCTGTCTCTTCCTCCTCCTCTGCCTGTCTGCCTTCTGGTCCTCTGGCCAGGGCTCTAAGCTCCATGTGATTCTGACAACCCATATATCTGTCTGCAGTGCCGGATGGAGTGCGGTGATGTGCCAGCTGAGACACTCTATGACGTCCTACACGACATTGAGTACCGAAAGAAATGGGACAGCAACGTCATTGAGACTTTTGACATCGCCCGATTGACAGTCAACGCTGATGTGGGCTATTACTCCTGTGAGCAGGCATAGCATGCTGATCCCTGTCTCCTCAACCTCCATCCAGGCCTCCCACCAAGACTCCTCTTCCCCCCTCCCTCCTCTGGTCACTCCCATGACCAGGCAGTGAGGGAACAGAGACTTGAGTGCCCTCCCTGACATCCCTGTCCATTCCTAGACCCTTAGGCACACACATGTACACTCACACATATGCACTCACATGATCATGTATGTACGCGCGCGTGCACACACACACGCATACACTGAAACATGTACACAGCTCCTACCCACATGCCACATAGTCCCAGGGACACATTTTTCATGCATATTCACACTGTTTTTCTCTCGTACACTCACATTCATATAGGCAAACCAGACAAGGTAAGGGCTGTGTGAGGTTGTGAGGAGCAGGGCTGGCTGGAGGCAGTAGGGACAGGTCTTGCCCTGGCTCCAGCTGTGGGACTGTGGTCTGGGAGGGAGGTGCCTGTTTGCAGTGGGGGCTGGCAGTTAATTAGGCATCCCTGCATCTCTGGCCTCTGCCACACCCTCCCTTGCAGGCAGGTGGGCCAGTGGTCTGGCTGAACTGTCCCTTGCCCTCCACAGGGAGGTGTCCCAAGCCCCTGAAGAACCGTGATGTCATCACCCTCCGCTCCTGGCTCCCCATGGGCGCTGATTACATCATTATGAACTACTCAGTCAAACATCCTGTGAGTCAACCTGCCTTCCCTGCAGCAGGGCAGGGGAGAGAGTTAGGCAGGGCAAGGCTGAGGCTGCCACTGTGACTTCCATGTGACTTCAAGCAGGCATGGAGCCCACTGGCCCTCAGTTTCCTTCCTGTATAGTGAAGATAATGACTTTTCTCTCCCAGCTGGGGCTTTTGAGCAGATCAGGAGAGGGCAGTGTGGCCACATTTGTGGTGAGTGGGTGGGATGGGGTGACTTTGGTTGGTTGGGCTCTGGGACAGAGAAACGAGGAGCAGAGGTGAGAGGCAGGGTCCTCTAGCCCTTCCTGAGGGTGGGCCACCTAGATCTCCCCGGGCAAGGACAGGCAGGTACAGCTGGCTAGGCAAGGATGAGTGTGTGTGTACCCATATGTGCTCATGAGCTCTGACCCCAGACTGGGGGCTTTTCTGAGGGAAACAGGAAAAGCTTCAAGAGGGGCTAGGATGACCTAGTCTGGTTCTTCCCTTTCTCTGCACCCAGAATCAGGCCTAGTCTGGAGCAGATGTCACGGCATGTGAACTGTGTGTATGTGTGTGTACATGCATGTGCGTGCATGCGTGCGTGTTTGTGTATACTCACAAAAACATCATCTTTGCCCCCACCCCAAGTCTCACCTCCCTGTGCCTTCCATCCCCAGAAATACCCACCTCGGAAAGACTTGGTCCGAGCTGTGTCCATCCAGACGGGCTACCTCATCCAGAGCACGGGGTCCAAGAGCTGCGTCATCACCTACCTGGCCCAGGTGGACCCCAAAGGTGAGGGCTTGGCCCTGGCAGCCTATCATGAGATCCTTCCCTATACCACAGGGGTGGGGTCTGATCTACTAGGGATCCAGAAGGGCATCTATTAGGAGCTGTTTTGCATTTTGGGGCATCTCCACCTGAAGCCGTCCTTGAACCAAGCCTTGGGACTTTACAGTAGTTTGAAAAGAGTGGGCCAGGGAGGTACCACTGCTCCACTGATGAAGCTGGGGGTGCTTTTCCTGGGCTTCGCTGTCCCCATGCTCGGCCTTGTTCACTGCTCACTGGCTGTTCCCTCTGCCCATCCTGGAGGCCTGGGTTTTCCAGGCCTCAGTCTTCTCTTTCTGGGGATGGCTCGTCTACTTCCGTGGCTTCTGTGACAGGTGGCTGTGTCTCCCTCAGCTGAGATCCAGATCCCTGTGGCCCTCAGCAGCCTGGACATCTCCCTCTGGATGTCTTCCAGGCACTTGAGCCTCTCTGTGTCCAGCGGGGAATTCTCCATCTTTCCTCCTGACCTGCCCCTTCCCCCAAGTCTCTGCTTTTCAGTTACCCATGCCCAGAATGTGCGGTCATTTGGGGCCACTCCCTCTTCCTCAGCCAAATCCAGCCACTGATTCCTATTGATTCTGTCTCCTCAGCAGCTCCTGAGTCTGGCATTTATCTCCGTACCAGCCACCTTGTCTGTGTGTACCGGCTGCCAGAGGAGTTTTTCTAAAACACTTGTCTCCTCATGACTCTCAACTGCTTGAAGTTATTCTTTGGCTCTCCACTGCCCTCAGAGAAAAGCCTAAGCCCTGTCCCAGGGCTCCTGGTATTGCTCACACCTCATCCGTCCCCACCCCTCTGCCCGGGCAGCCCTTCCCCACAACCTCTCCTCCTCATCCCTCCAGGGCTACTGCAGGTGTCACCTACTGTTTCCCTTATACTCAGGGGAGCCAGTGGCTCCCTGCTCTGTGGCCCATTCCCCTCTAGCAGAACACTCGGTTCCTGTTGGGCCCTCATTGAGCTCTTCTCTGGGTCCCTAGGGCTAGCCCAGGTTGGTGTCACAGTGAACGTGGAGTGAGTGAGTGAGTGAGTGAGTGAGTAGAGGATGGGGAAGCCTGGAGCATCCTTGCCTGGGAATGCTCCATGCCCTGGAGTGCACAGTAGTCCAGGCCCAGCACTCCCCAGCACCTCATTGTGTTGGGTGTCAGTGTCAGAGTGGACACTTGGGAATGAGCAGGTTGGAGAGCTGGGTGGTAGATTCCACGTCAGGCCAGGCTGGGGTGCTCAGCCAGAGGCCTGTGTGGTTAGGGGAGGCTTGGAAGGACAGGCAGAGGAGGGCTGAGCATCAGGGCCATTCCTGGGAGGGAGGTTAGGCTGAGAAGGGATGTCAGTGTGATTGAGGGAGGCAGCAAGCTGCAGTGGGGTGGGTCTGAGTTTCCACTCCTGTATAGTCTGTGCTCACCTAGGACACTGTGGTTTTCTTCCACGTACTCTTTGAGGCTGGGCAGAGGGAAAGTGGGGGACAGAGCTGAACCTGAGGACCTTGGTCTGAGGTAGAAAGGAGTGAGGGTGAAGTCTTGTAGAATTTGCCTGACACACCCCCTCCCCAAGGAGAAGACAGTGGCCTCCCTGAAGCTCTGGACAGAGGGAGGGGCTTTTGTCGGGAGGGAGGGGCTGGGTCCCTGAGATGGATTTTTCCCTTCCCTGCCCTCACAGGCTCCTTACCCAAGTGGGTGGTGAATAAATCTTCTCAGTTCCTGGCTCCCAAGGTGAGTGGCCTTGGGATTTTGGGGGTGTTGGAGGCTGGAGAGAAGACCATGGGATAAGATGGGTAGAGTCAAGCTTGGAGCCTGGGGGCCAGGCATGGTGGCTCATGCCTGCAATCCCAGCACTTTGGGAGGCAGAGGTGGGAGGATCACCTGAGGTCTGGAGTTCAAGACCAGCCTAGCCAACATGGCAAAATCCCGTCCCTACTAAAAATACAAAAAATAGACAGGTGTGGTGGTGGGCACCTGTAATCCCAGCTACTCAGGAGGCTGAGGCAGGAGAATTGCTTGAACTGGGAAGGCAGAGGTTGCAGTGAGCCAAGATATTGCCACTGAACTCCAGCCTGGGGCACAGAGTGAGACTCTGTCTCAAAAAAAGAAAAAAAAAAAAAGAGTATAGCCTGGGGCTCAGGGAGGGCAATTAGGGCTGAGGGGCAAAGTTCTTTTTTTTTTTTTCTTTTTCTTTTTTGAGACGGAATCTTGCTCTATCACCCAGGCTGGAGTGCAGTGGCATGATCTTGGCTTACTGCAACATCCACCTCCTGGGTTCAGGCAATTCTCCTGTCTCAGCCTCCTGAGTGGCTGCGACCACAGGTGCCTGCCACCATACCTAGCTAAGTTTTGTATTTTTGGTAGAGACGGGTTTTCACCTTGTTGGTCAGGCTGGTTTTGAACTCCTAACTTCAGGTGATCCGTCCGCCTTGGCCTCCCAGAGTGCTGGGATTACAGGCGTGAGCGACCGCGCTGGGCCGGGGCGAAGTTTTGAAAGGGAGTGAGTCAGGGTGCTGGGGGCTGAGCCGCTAGAGGGCGCTGGAGGGGGAGTGGAGAAGACCTGGACCCCCGCCCTGGCCACCCCCTGACCCGGCGGGGTGGCGGGCCCACAGGCCATGAAGAAGATGTACAAGGCGTGCCTCAAGTACCCCGAATGGAAGCAGAAGCATCTGCCTCACTTCAAGCCCTGGCTGCACCCGGAGCAGAGCCCGTTGCCCAGCCTGGCGTTGTCGGAGCTGTCAGTGCAGCATGTGGACTCACTGGAGAACATCGACGAGAGCGCGGTGGCAGAGAGCCGAGAGGAGCGGATGGGCGGCGCGGGCGGTGAGGGCAGCGACGACGACACCTCGCTCACCTGAGCGTGGCACCAATGCAGGGACCGAGACAAGACCGGGCGAGCCCTTGGATGGCAGCTGTTTCCGCGCTTTCTCCCCACCCCCACCTGGCGTCTCCTGGTGGCACTGGGCCCGAGCCCAGGTGGGCACTGCAGCCTGGCTGGATACAGCCCCAATAAACGATCCCACAGCCTCAGCCGGCTCATCACTGTGCCTGCTTGCCACCTGCCTCACGGCTGCTGCCGTGGTCCCCTGCTTCTGCCCTTAATTTTGTTAAAGTTATTGATCACCAGTCTTTGATCCTTCAGGCATCTCCTCATTTCCCCTTGTGAGGTGGGGATGGGATGGATCTATCACTGCCCTCCTCCTGTCCATACTCTGTTCCATTCTCTGCCCATGTCTATCCAGCTGTCTTTATTGAGTGATCATTTTGGCACTCATGCCAAGCTATTTGCTTTCTTTTCACTCCTTTAAGGCAGAGGTCCCCAACCTTTTTGGTACCAGTGACTAGGTTTTGTGGAAGACAAATTATCCATGGGTCAGGATGCCGGGAGGATTGGTTTTGGGATGATTCCAGGGCATTACATTTATCATTAGAGTCTGATAAGGAGCGCACAACCTGGATGCCTGGCATGCACAGTTCAAAATAGGGTTCTCACTCCTCTGAGAATCAGTGCTGCTGCAGATCCAACAGGAGGCGGCAATGATCACTCAGCCCCTGCTCACCTCCTGTTGTGCAGCCTGGTTCCTAACAGGTTCCTGACAGTCTGTGGCCCAGGGATTGGGGACCTTTGCTTTAAGGGAAGGAGCAGGCCTGGCCAGAGGCCCTGGGCCAGGAGTCAGAGGGTGAGGTTCTACTGTGTGTCCTTCAGCCCAAGGCCCTTTGGGTCCAACGCATGGACTCGGGGTCTGACACGCTCTTGTCATCCCAGAAGGGAGGTGGAGGGGTCAGTGGGTCTCAAGCCACAGGGCTGTGGGCCTCAGAGCTGAGGTTGGGGCAGCATACTCTGGAGGAAGGAGGTTAGGGGTGTAGGTGAGGGGCCTCAGATTCCAGTGCAGTTGGTGGTGACCAGGCTCAGTGAGTCCCACCCTCCCTAGGTCATTTTGAAGACCTCAGGACTGTGTTAACAGAAATGGTGAGGTCCCCAGACTCCCCATCACCTTGCCAGTGGTCAGATGCCAGCCCCTCACCCTATGCTGCATCTCACTGCTCTGAAGTCAAGAGGGATGCCTAGGCCTCTCCTGTGATCTGTGGCTCCCAGATGCCCTCTGCTGTCCAAGGGACACCCCTGCTGCCAGGTCCGGAGGAGGGCTCTGCGCTCTGCTCCTCTACAGTGTTTTTGACCCCATATGAACTTGAGACCTGGAAGTTCTTCCCAAGGTCTGGCCCGGTTCTCCCCTCCCCAAAAGCTCCTTGCCTTAGCTCTACCACTGGAAGACATGGTGTACTGAGAGTGAACTGTTTCCCAGAGGGACAGGGTGAATGGCCAGTTGGGGGGGCAGCCAGGAGATTCTAGAACTCACCAAAATGGGTTGCATCCCAGCTTTGCCCAACACTGGCTTCGTAACTTTGGGCAAGCCCTGAGACTTCTTGGAGCCTTATTTCCTAACCCATAACCTGGGATGATAATTTTTGCCTTCAAGCAGAATGTGAGGATTGAGATGAAAAGAATAAATTGCCCAGCACTGGGACTGGCATGTAGTAGGTTCTCCAATTAATGAAACTTTACTCTTCTCAGGGGGTTTAACCCCCCCCAATGGGAGATCTATTCTTCCAAATATACCCTTTGTGTGTATGCAGAAATTGAAGCCCAGAGAAGTCAAGATCTCTGGAGTGGTTGGCCCCAGAGATGTCCTGGACATAGGACCCAGAAATGGCTGCCAAGCCTGGTGCCCTCATCTGTGTATGTGCTGGGAGGATGGGTGGGAGTCTCCTGTTCTCTAGGCCTGGGTGCTGGGACCTAAGGCTGCAGCCTTCCGCTGAGGGATCCCTGGGAGGTGTGGCTGGGTGGGTAGCTTCCCCACAACCCTGTCTGTGGGCACCCAGGGAGGGAAGTGAGATACCCTTGAAGAATGTGGTGGAGGAAGGACTTCCTGGAGGAGGTGGTCGAGAACCACAGACGGCCTTCAACGGCCCCCTATCCCCTGGGGGGTGGGGCCCCCTTGGGGGTGGGGTGCGTGTCGGGACCAGAAGAGGGGCGGCGAGAGCAGGGAGACTCAGGGAGAGATGGACTCAGCGGGTGAGATGGTGGGGGTTAGACATGAGTCTCAGGAGACAGTCGGAGGACCCGCAAGCAGCTTGAAGGGCAGGAGAGAGACAGAGACCGACGGGTCCGGCAGGCCGGCCAGGCCAGCAGACTCCAGTACAGTGACTAGGCGAGGGGCGGGGCCGAGGAGGGGGCGGGGCCCTGCCCTGCCCCAGCCCCACCTTCTCTCCGGGGGAGTCACGTGGGGCGGGCGGAAGCGCCCGGCGGGGTGGGCGCGCCCGGCCCCTTGCTGCGATTTGGCTACGGCGGTGTGAGTCGCTGGCGGCGCCGGGACGCCAGGTCTCCTCGTGGAGTCTTTGCTCAAAACAGGTCAGTGCAGCTGCCGGAGCCTCCCGGTCTACAGTCCCCTAGCCACATGTGGCCTGCAGTTTCCCCATTCTGCAGAACGGAACGCCGAGACCGCGCTCTGCGTCTGCTTCCCTGGGTCATCTTGTCTGTTTACCTTTCTGGGCGGGGTGGTGGGGGTCGCCTCCTGACGACGAGCGGGCCAGAGACGGTAGGGAGGAGGGTGAACCAATGGGACCCGGGGCTTCCAGCCGGTAGCCCTTTGGCGTGAAGGTCCCGGGCTCTGGAGCCAGCCGCCCTCGGGCGCCTTGGGGTTCCCATCTGTGAAGTGAAGGCTCCCACCTCTTTGGCCGCTGAGACCTTTACGTTCTGGAGGTCTGTACGACCCAATGCCCTGGGCCTGGGGCTCCAGTGACCTTGGGCAGGTTACTTCCGGTTTCTGCACCTCAATTTCCCACCAGTAAATGGGGGCATGGCTTCCCAAGAGCCCCTACCTGGCCCAGTTGCTGGTAAAAGGAAGTATGTGTTCAAGGAATGGGGTCACGCTGGGAGTGGGGTAGTTGGGCCTGGAGAGAGCAGGCTTGGGGTGCAGCCTGGGGGTCAGGGGGTGGTGGGTGTTTGGTGCAGGGGAAATCTGGCCAGGAGCCATCACACTGTGGTTTCTGATATATGCATTCCCTTCCCCCACATCCCATGTCCTGGGGAGCCTTCCCTGATCCCAGATAGGTGGGAGGGGGTGCTTCAGGATCAGACACCTGGGGGTACTCAGAAGGATTTGACTCTCTAGTGGGTCCCAGGGTTCCAGACTGAGGCAGTTGTGATACCTGTTTTCCCAGACTGGGAGAGACCGCCCAGCAAGATCATCACAGGGTAGAAGGAGTCCAGCAAAGCCATGAAGGCAGGTGTGGACAGGTGCAGGCCCTGGGGGAGGGGATGAATGGAATGGGCTTGGCAGTTAAGTGGCAGCTTACAAGGATAAGGGCCCTCCAAAGGCAGGGGCATAGCTTGTGGAAAGTAAGGAATTTGGGTGGTGTGTTTGAGGAATGGCAGAAAGATGGGTGTAGCTGGCATAGGTGTAGAGAGAACTCATCCTGTGTCCCATACCTGGTTGGGGATTGTCAGGACCAGGCCTGGAGACCCTGTCTCCCCATTGGCTACTTGCATACTGAAGTAGTGTAGGCAGGGGGTGTCCCACACACAGTACCAGTGACTGGTGAGGTGGGAGGGCGGGCAGAGGCCACCAGGGCCCTGTTTGTCCCAGGCTTTGTTTTGCATTCAGGCCTCCCCACTCAACCCCAGCTTTATGCCCCCACCACCTGGGCTCCAGCCATGCTTCACACATCCAGCCTCAGCCTTTTGTGCAGACTGTCAACCCTCCTCCCAACTCTCTAGAAGCTTCCTCTCCAAATCACCAGGTCCTTTGGGATTCAGGTTTCAGAGATGGGCTGCTGTTGCCCCTCCTTCCTGCCCAGCCTCTGTCCTGTGTAATGGCACAGCTTAGGAATGGTCTTCTTGGAGCTCAGGGGGGATGGGCCCTGCAGAGCCACGAGGCTCACTGGGACCTGGGGCCCTGAGTCCTTGTGCAGCCACCAATCACTTTGTGACTCTGCACGTTCCCAGACTCCTCAGAGCCTCCATTTCCCCATCTGCAGGATGGGGTGATCAGCCCTGGCCTCATGCCCCAAAGAAAGACTGTGCTGGGGCAATAGTCAGGCCTATCTGCTAAGTCCTGTCTCTAGCATTTCGTGTTTGAATGAAAGAAAGAGAGTGGGGGTCAGTTTAGAGGATCTGGGATAGTACTAGGGGCTAGTGGTAGACCAGGCCTAGGGCATTGGCTGGAGGTGGGGAGTCTCTTCCATTTTCCGGAGCCCTCTCTTCTTCCCACCCCACTCTCCCTTGGCTGAGCTCAAAGCCACCCGCCACTGCCCAAACAAGTGGCCTCTGTTCCCAGGGGAGGGGGAGGGGAGGCAGGCCCTGGGCTCTCGGCCGGCCTGTCCAGCGCTGACCCTGGCCCCCACCCCTCACTCTGGATCTTAACCCTTGGGGGCCTGTGGATCTTAACCCTTGGGGGCCTGGACCGGGCCCTGGGCTCCTTGAGAGCTGTTGATCCTTGCCCACCACCTGCCCCTGCTACCCTGCTTCAGGCTCCCAAGAGTTCTGTCACACTGGTAGCAGATGGAGTAGGAAATGGGGAAGGAAGGAGGGAATGAGGGTGGGGGACAGGCTAGAGCAGATATGGCCATGGATACTTAGAGAGCACTTGGCCTAGAAGCTTCTTTCACAGATGGGGAAACTGAGGCCAAGAGCTAGAAATCAGGCTAGGATCACACAGAGACCCCTGATGGGGGTCAGGACAGGTTCTGTTTCGTACTCTAGCCTCTCTGGGGGAAAGGGGAGGGAGGAAGAGGGAACATTTTTTATTGAGTACCTGTGCTGTGCTGGACACTGCACATTTGTCAACTAACAATTTACATAATTGCGTAAGAGGAGCATCACTCTTCAATATCGTAGTGGAAGAAACTGAGCCTTAGAGATAGCTGAGTAATAACATCAGTGAAAATGAGGTCAGCAAACATGCCTGTAGCACTGTTGTAGACACTTTTATGCATATTATTATTGCATTAACAATTAACCAATTTCATCCTGCCAATAACACAAGAAGTTAGGTAACATTCTACAGATAAGGAAACTGAGGCATGGAGAAGCTGAGTAACTTGTGAACAATTACAGTGGGAGGGTGATAGAGAGGCAGTGTTAGGACTCAGGTGTTCTTTGCCTCCTTTGTCTGACTTCACCTAGATCTTACTCTTTGAGCACCTCCCAGAGCTGAATGAGATGCCTTCCCCAGGGCGGTGACCCAGGCAGCCTTGAACAGAGTGTGACCCCGGTCAAGCTGACCCAGCCCCTCCCTCTGGAGCAGTCCAGTCCCTCAGGCAGCTCTTCTCATTTCCTCTTCTGGTCTTGGGCAGGTTAGAGTCAGCATCCTCCACAGCCCTGTGCAGAGGAGTATGTTTTAGAAAGGAGTTCTGTGCTAAGGGTGGCCACTCCAGGGGGCTGAACAGCATAAGGATTTAGCATGTGGGGTGACATCCCTGTCCAATGTACATGCCCCACAAAACTCAGAGCCTGTCCCTGAATCAACCCTAGTGTCCCCAGCTCTGATCAGAGAGAACATTTTGTCTACCTACCCCTACCCCTGGCCAGGCCCTTAGGCCTGTACATTCCAGCCAGGGATCTGAGGATAGTCCCAACTCAAGGCAGATGACCCCAGATGTGAGGGACAGTGGGAGACAGTGCATGGTTTGTGTTCCACGTGGCCTTCCTGTGGAATGTCTCTCTTTCTCTTTCTCATCCTTGGCCACAGTACAGAGGGGGAGAGCCTGTCCTATATTAGGACATCTGTCCTAGACCATTGGGACAAAGAGTGGCTGGGAGGGGACATGGAATTAAGTGACCAATTCAATAACAAGTCATTATTTAATAGTAGTAATAATAGTGGTAGCTATTGTTTCTTGGAAGCTTACTAGTACCAGGCAGTGTGCTAAGCACTTTATATAATAAATTCATTTAATCCTCAAAATAGTCTTATGAGGTAGGCACCATTCCCATTTTACACATGAGGAAACTGAGGTCCCAAGAAGTTAAGTGATTTGCCCAAGATTATCCATTACATAGAATAGCTGGGAATCTCAGTTTCCGTTGCTTCACCGTGAAAACCCCAAGCACTGGCAGGCATTGCAGACAGAGGAGGTCCAAACCCAGTCCTACCCTGGGAACTGTTAGTCAGTGACAGACAGAGACTAGAGGGCCACCTGGTCAGGTGACATTGCTGGTGACCAGCTGTGGATCTGGGATGCCCTCAAGGGTACAAGGGTATCCTGCTTGCAGACTGGACTAAGGCCCCAGCCCTGGCATCTTGTGGAAGTCTGGTTTCTGCTGTTGTCCTATTTACCTTGGCTCTTGTTCATACAGTGATTCTCCCAGACCCCATTTTGCTGATAAGACTAAGGGCAGTAGCAGGTGGTGACTTGCCTGCAGTCTCCTAGCCAGGGAAAGCAAGAGCAGGTACTGGAACCATAGCAGGGTGCTCTGAGGCCTGCACTCTACCTCTCTGCCTTGAGCTTCCTTCAGACCCTGCCCACACTGCCTTGCTACAAGGTCCAAGTCTTTTCTCCTTGACCAAACCGGGAACCTGATTCCTGTTGGGGTGCTGGGACTTGGCTACAGCAGAGCATCAGTAACTGAACCACTCTGGAAACATGGTTCCAGAGCCCAGAGACGGGGACCACCTGTGGTCCAGTGTGTGGGGCTCAGGGCCAGAGGGCCTAGAAGATTGAGGCATCAGTGAGTCCTCCCTGAGGAGATGTGTTAAAATCTTCCTCCTGTTCTTATCTTCATTGCTGTGAGGGCAAAGTTAAAGGCAAGAAGGTGGGAGAGGATCAGGATGGCCACTCCTCTGTTCTCATTCTCAGGGTGGGACCAGGGGCCACACCTGGAATCTTGGCTGTCAGTGGCCCTTGGGGAGCTTGGGCTGGCCCTCCCTCCTTCTGGCCAGGCGGGTGCTGGGGTGGCTTAGCCCCCAGGACAGAAGACCAGAAGCAAGGCTGAGCTGCTGCTGTGCTTTGGCCTTCCAGGTGCCAGGGTCTTCCCTGCCAGCTTTCTTCCTACTGGCCCAGCGAGCACTGCCCTACCCTGGGATCCCCCTCTCTCCTCCCCAACCTGTAATACACAGGGCAGGGGTCTCCTGTAGTCAGGCACACAGTTAGGAACCCAGGGTCTGTCTCAGGCCTCCAGCTCAGTAAGAGACCTTCAGCTGGACATTTATCCTCACTGGATTCAACTTCTCTGGAGCTTCAGGAAGGGGCAGTACGGAGCAGCTCTAGAGACCCCCCCAGGCTTACCAGCCCCCGGGTGTGAACCAGACAAGACAGAACAGGTGAGACATGAAGTGGGCTGGGGGGAGGGGGCTGTTCCCCTCCTCTCTACTCCCTCTACTCTCCACACTGAGCAGCTAGAATTTTATT